AAATACCAGTAAAAATGCCTGTGTGAGGTTTTCATTTAGTCGACCAACTGGCATTTTTAAGCTTTCTTTCCTTCTTTTTGTTGGCTGTGCTGCGTAATTCATGCGGCTGTTTCACGTGATAACTAAAATATGTATGAAGTCGGGCGATGGTAAATGGAGAACTGACACACACACGTAAAAGTAATCTGCTGCCCTGCTAAAGGGTCTACATGCTGAAGCAAGTTCTGGCTAGGTCGGCTGTCTATTTTTTTTCACCTGGTGGACCTAATGAAGGCTCCAGGTTCTTACAAGGACCTTTGGAAACGGAAGTCCCTTTGATGTAGGCTAAACGATGCGTGTCAGGTGAGACTGTGAAGCAGGATTGTGTGCCACGTGAAAGACGCGTTCTTAAACGACATTCTGAGAGTATACCGCAGCAGTGAACATCCGCAAGTGACAAGTGACGAGCCTGTGGATATTACTAGGCAAAAGTGCAAGGTACAGTCTGCTTCTCGCCTGCTTGCCATCTTTCATAGACTGGTGCGTGGGACGTAAATTTTCATTTGCAAGATTTAAAATGGGTGTTTTCTGTACATGTGGCCTTCGCATATCAGTTAGACAACTAGTGGATTGTGTAAAAAATAAATTTTCATCTCAAATACCCGGCCATCTACGCGTCTGAAAACTTTTTAAAACCGTCCTATTGGTACTGAAAAATATGTCCGTTTGAGAAATGCTTACATTAACCCAGCTGAATGGAATAACCTACAGCCGTTGCCACGCGGTTCGGTTTCAACGAATCTAACAGTATAAGTGAAGCTGCTTAGAGGACTGCATCGTCTTTCTCCTCGTTTATACGGTTGGAATTTTGTCAAAACGTGGGAGTATCAAGCGTAATGAAGTACTTATTCTATTTTTTTCTTTTTACAGTGACTAGAAGTTTTATATCAGCCGCCATGGCAGGGCGTGCTTGCATATAATGTGCTTCATCCTCCCCCATGCAGTAATAGAAGTTTTCGAATTCGAAAAAACCCGTGTCGAGGCCAAAGGAAAGTTAGTCCGAATATGAAGGAAGGGATGATCCAGCAGGTCTTAATGAGGATGTAACACTGACCGGAAGTTTTTAACAATCAATATAGGGCTGCGCTCGTTGTGATGACTCTGTCGCTGATGATGAACTCGAGTGAGAATCCGAAACGTCAGGCTAAGGAAGCTCTTGGTCTGGCGACCCTGTTTCTTTATTCGCATTCGAAAGTTTTTGGCAATTATTGGAGTCCACATACATGGTGTACACCAGCATTGCTCAGACCCAGGGCCACCTACTTGCACATATTTATGATAGGTCAAGCGAATCTGGGGGAAATTATTGACTTATATACAAACCGAGGTGCTACTCTACCGTGATTCCTATTTTTATTTTGTGTCTATGAGGTAACGAGAGTTTTCTACTGAAAGGGTGCACTGTGGCGTCGTGATATTTCCTCCAACATGGCCGCTTATTAGGGGAAAATTCTTGCCTCCCAGTGCAGTGGACTGGTGATGTTTACAAAAAGAAATTCCGTAGACAGAATGTGCTGATGTGGAGGTACAGTACGAAGGATTGCTAGTTTTTTTCTATTAGTAAGAAATGAATACGAATTCTTTCATTATTTTAACTTAAACAGAAGACTCCACGGTAATTTGGAGCTCTGTGAAATGTTAGACTTGGGTTATCTCTGACGCAACAGAATACCATGAGAGGGAGTGCCCAAGCTTAGCCGTAGATTCGCAAATACTGTAGTTGACTGGTTCAGTTATTGCCGGAAAGTCTGCTCCGAAAGTGTAACTGTCACTGGGTAGCCCTAAATGCAATCGTGGCCATCTTTTAGCTGTAGCTGCAGCCGCCGAGGAAAAAAATGACGATTCATTGCACAGTTCTCCGAGCCACAGCTCGTGCATTGGTTGTCCACGGGTCTTTGGGTTGTTTCAGGGACCCATGGTAGGTTATTTTACATACGGAAGCTAGATGCGGCGAGGTTTATTCCTATCATGGAACGCGGAGTAGAAGCAAGTTTAACAATATCTTCTGACGAGTGACCAGTTTATCAACGAATTAATCAACTTGAATAGAACCGTAAAATCATAAACCTGAATGCAAGTGTACACGCCCAGAAAATCGAGAAGACTTGAATAATCGCTGAGTTCCAGGGAATTTACTTAAGCGACACAGTGATGAACACTGTTGGTGTGTTTTGAAAGGAGTTAAAAACCATTTCATAGCAATCCTACTCGATATTAAAGAAGTATTTGTTGCTTACTGATTGTTATTTGGTTCCAATTTAATTTTGTCCTATAATCGACATATTTTAAATCTGATTCTGATTTTTGGCCGGTACCTATTAGAGTAGGGATCACGTTATAGGGTGTCTTCGGTGATAGGAAACAAGCTTTAGTCTCATCGAAATTCTTAGGGATTATAAATAAATCGAATTAGTGCTGTTCGACATAAGTCTTCTCCTGCTCCTAACTTAAGAGGTCCCTGGGTTCAATTAAGGTGACCTACATTGGGGTTCGTTTCGAAATGGCTTTTGCCTTTTTTGAGTCACTAACGCGGAAGTTTTGGCCAGAAACCTACATAGAGGCGGGCTATACTTTTGGAATCAGGGCGTGTATCCACTCCTCTAGGGGGCGGGTCCATCTGGGGACAAACAAACATGACCACTGTCAAAAGCAGGTAGACGACTTGGGACAACGCCCGTGGGTGACTGTTTTGTCTCTACGGAGCCTCATTCACTTATGGAACAGGAAAGAAAATGGTACATTAAACAAATAAACCAGCAGGTTTGATAAAAGGTTGCTGGGGGAATTCCAAAAGATGCTATCTGCAGTCATTTCCTTAACCAGCAAAACAACTATATAGTCTCTTCACAATGAAACAGTCAATGTACTTAGAAAGTACCGTTCAAACGCCTTTTTACATCTAGCGGCGCGGGAAACTTGGAAGTCTGGTAGAACAATCGCAACGTTTAAAAACGAAATTCTAAATCCGTGGTCAACCGGCAGTTTTTATTAGTCACGTGAGTGGTTTGCAATTTTAATATACTGTTTGTAATCCAGTAGAGTTGTCGAGACTGAAATTAAAACAATCTCTTAGGCTGAGAAAGGTTTTTATGCATTTTGACGTTTTTGGTGTATTTACTTCTATTGACGGATAACTAATTTAGGCCTTATCTACGTTCACGACTCACTGCCATAACTGAATTCAAACCATTTGTGTCTCGAGATTCCACACTGTCATCTAACATGCTACAGTTGCAATTGGAAGTGCTGTGAGGGGGTATATTGGGCATTGACAACTC